CCCCAAAACCCCAAAACCCCAAAACCCCATTCTATAATAAATTTCATCGAAATATTTGTTTGAATAATACATACTAAATAAAATTTGTAATATCTTATTAGAGACTTATAGAGAAAATGACTGAATCAAAGCCAGCAGGCAAAAAGATGATGAACCTCCTTTCATAAATTGGGTATTATTATCACTCTTTGAATATCTAAATACAGAACGAAACTAACAGATGAAGCATAGCACATGATAATAGAGGCATGCGAAGTTTTGATAAAAGATTTGAATTCTGAAATCGATAAACAGAGAAGAGAATACACAGAGAATATCAAGTTCAGACTCTCATCCGAGAGTGGTCTTGATGTGTAAAAGAGAGACATTGAAAAGATAAAGCAAAGAATTGAAAACACTCAGGAATTAATTGAGAAAAAGAAGAGAAACCCTGAGAAAGTGAAGCAGATTGAAAACTTAGGCAAAGAAAAATCATAAAAAGAGTAAATACATTAAATCTTCTATGAATATTCATCCAACCATTTTATTTAGCTCAGAGCTCAAAGCTAAAGAAGAAGTGCTTAAGCCTCTTAGAGAAGAGCTGAATAAGGTTAAAGCAAAGAATATCATCGATGAGAGATTAAATGCTGAATTACATGAAAAGTGGAACAAACATGTCTAAGATTTGGAAGACAAGGAAAGTCTTGATTAAAGGATAGCACAAGCAAAGGAGTCTATAGAAAACCTAAAAAAGAATATTGACAAGCTAACTAGACTCAGAGACAAATTAGCTAACAGGGACGGTGAGAAAGAGATTTTGAGGTTGCAGGCACTAACCACAAATCTTATGAGAAACAATATCTTGGCAAGAAACACAAAAGAACTTGCCAATAATTGCTTAAACGCTGGTCTTGGATTGAAAGCTATACTTGATGATTGTGATAAGCTCCTAGCAAGAAACAATCTTATTGCAGATAAGCTTCCAATCACTCTTGGAATCAAGAGCGATGAATATACTCAGAGCATTGTGAACTCATATATCAAATAAGAACAATTTTTAGTCAGTGATGAGCAAATAGAGTTCTCAAAGGCATCAGTTGCCTTCTTTTTCAGAATCTTCATTGTGGAAGTTAAAGTCAACGAGTTAATTGTTGTGGTCAAAGATACAGTTGATGACTTCGAAAAAACAGCTCAAGCCATCGAAAAGTAAAATGAGTTAATGTCTAACCTCAAGGTAGAGGAACTCACTCCTGAATTAATCGAAGCTGCTTACAAGTTCAATACTGAATTCAGCCAAAAGAATATATTCTTTAGACAGAGGACTAAGGAATTTTCTGAAATTTTGCAAGTCCAACAGATTGGTGTTGATAGATTCTAGGAGAAAATCAGGTCAAAATGTGCCTCATAAGTCAAGGAGAGATAGAGGGTATCTGAAATATTAGCAAAAGATGGTGTGGCAAGAACTGGTAAGAACACTGCAATTCTAACTGGATTTGGTTCTGAGGTAGATAGATTGCTTGAAGTGAACTGGCTTTAGCATAAGCACTAAGAATTAAGAGATTTCAAAAAGAAATAGGAGGGTCTAACTGATGAAAATAATGCACTAATTGGAAATTTCTCCATTCTCAAAGTTATTCTTGAAAAGGCTAAGGTCAAGCAAGCAGGAGTGGATAGATTCGACATTCAAAAGATTGCAAAGCTAGTTAAGGAAATTAACACCTTCCTAGACTCAGCTGATAAAGATCACACTATCTTGAAAGATGTAGAGAGAAGAATTAAGGAATTGCAATTGGTCTATGATAAGTTAATTGATGATATCTGTGAGGATAGCAAGAACTTTTTGAAGGAGAACTTTTCTATGAAATTCAGATAATCTTAAGATTTGTCTGTTAAAGTTGAGGATCTAATGAATTTCCTTGATCTAAAGAAAAACGATCTTTATAACATTAAGGGAAACGTTGATGACAATGACAAAGAAATGCAAGCTAAGTTCCTTACTTTTGAGCTATAGTTAGATGACGCAAATCAAGATGAGGAATTTGCAAATGAAAGATAAAGACAGATTTAATCTAAGATTGATAGACTTCAAAAGAATTTCCTAAGAATGATTCCTATTAAGCTCAGAGATATAATTACTTGCAGTGCCATTCTTGACTCATTGTCCAGATTAGACCATCACATCAAGAATACTGAATAACTTATTAAGGATGCTTATAAAAAAGTTAAGGATTTTGATGCTGACTTCAAAGATCTTGAGGCCTAAATAAGAGACAAAAGAGTAAAGGAATGTGATAAAGCTTTAGGTGTAGCTTTTGGAAATCTAGAAAAATTGATAAAGCTTCTTGATAGGCTCAACGAAGATGTTAATGTTGTGTAAGGTGATTAAAAGAAGCTTAAAACAAATAAATTTGAGGACTAAGAGAAGAATAGAGACACCACTTAGTTTGGTAGAGAAATAGAATCTAAATAAGATGACTTGAATGACCAATCAAAGAGGAAAGATGGATTTAAAAATCAGCTAGATCAATTGAAAGCTGAATACCAGGATAAACTTAAGAAAAATGATTCATCAAATGGCTAAGAATTCGTTAAGATTAAACAAGGAGCTGATAAGCTAAGTATTGCTATATTAGTCCAAATAAATTTCTTGGAAGGTCCAATGACTGAGGAAATCAACCACTTAAAGGATAATAACTAAGCCATGTAAAAGAAGTACCAATACAAGAAAGATAGACACGGATAATGCGGCAAACTCAGAGCCATTAAAACTGATGAGTTCAAAAACTGGCTTCAAAAATTGCATGATATGGAGCAAAGATAAGAAAACTTGGAAAAGGCTATTAAAGATATTGGATATACACCAGAATACGCAAAATTGTACCTATCACTTGTATAGAGAGTGGCTGCAAACAAGTAAAAGACCCTTGATATGGATAATTAAGTGGCAAACAATCAGAAAATCCTTGTAGTGCAAGCTACTGACTTGGATTACCTTCCTCAGAAAATTGTAAAGAATCAGAGACTTGATGAGATATATACTCTTCTTGAGTAAATGAAGGTCTCATTTGATGGATTTGATAATATTTTGGACGATATCGATAAGGAATTGAAGAAGTTGGAGAAGGATGTGGAAGATTTTATGAATAAACTCAGAGGATCACAGTATAATGATGTTTTCAACAAGCTTAGAAAGCTAGAGAACAGTCTTGAGAAGTTGAATGATAAGTTAAGAGAAGTCGATAATGAAAAGGATGCATTTAAAGATGAACTAGATTCTGTTAAAGGTGAAATAAAAAATAAGGATAGTATTAAGAAAAAATTTGATGAATTAGTCAAAGAAGCTGATAGAATTAAGGACCAAAGAGACGATATTTAAAGAAATGTTGATCTCTTGAAGACTAAGTTTGATAAACTTGATAAGAAAAACCTCTCAGTTTAAGATTGCGAATAAATAATGCAAGAAGCAGATATCCAAGACAAGAATGCTAATAAAGAGCTTGGAAATGCCATTGATGTTTTAGAGCAACTAAAAGATTTAAGACTTAAATTCAAAGAGCTTTCTAAGGCAGAGTAAGAAAGACAAAAGTTGATATCTTAAGCCAAGGACGGAGTTAAAAATAACAAGGATTAAATCAGAGCTATGAAATAGGCTATTCAATCTATTATGGACAAGGCAAATGATTTTGAAGTACTGTATAAGTCAATGATTGCCAGTGAAGACTATGAGCCAAGAAGAGTAAGCATACAAAAGAAATTGGCAAAAGTAAAGGCTATCAAGGATGAGGTTTAAAAGATTGCTAAACAGAGAGAGTAATTAGAGGAGGCAGTTAATAAATATACAGATGCTTAACTAGATGCTTTGCAAGATCTCGTTCAGCTCTAGGCAATAATTGAAGAAAATCAAAAGGTAGCTGAAGACATCAAGCAGCTAAGTAATACACTACAAGATACCAATAGAAAACTGGATGAGAGAAGACAAAGAACATAAGATGCTGAAATAAGAAAGCACACTTAGAAGCATTTAAGAGATGTAGATGAACTTAGTAAATAAATGGCATTACAGGCAGAGATGGTAGATAGGTTTGAGGATCATGTTCAGTCAACAATTGCAGATGAGAAATAATCATCAAAGGATAAGAACATTTCCCCAGAACTTCAAGCTCTTTAAAAAGTACTTGAGGAGCTTAAGAACAAACTAAATGACTTCAAAGTCAAATATAATGGTACAGGTAATGATATCAAGAACATTGCAAAGGATATCAAGGATAAGGACCTTGAAAACACTGAGCCACTACCCAATATGGCAGCAATTATTGATAGATTATCAAAAGTCTCTGGAGAATTAAAATAACTTAAAATTGAGGCTGATAATTTATAAAAGTAGATTGAGGCAAATGCAGGTAAATTGGGATCAATGGATGTTGACAAAAAGCTGAAGAGATTACTTGACTTGCTTGTCGATGCTCAAAAGGTGAAAGATACTATGGATGCCATTAAGAGAGTTATTGACCTCACTGATTCATACAATGGATACACTAGTGATGATGACGACGAAGGCTTTTTCAATAAGATGAATGATAATTCTAAAAATCTAAGAGATGACCTTTAAAAGGAATTAGCTAGGTTCGAGGAACTTGAAAAAGATATCAGACAAATTATTGAGGAGCTGGTATTCGCCAAAGAAAAAAATGACGGAAATATTGACTAGGAGACTTAAGATAGGATTAATAATACTATTGATAAAGTAAAGGGAGTTTACAGAGTAGCAAACGATAACAAAGAATCAATTGATAAGAATGCTGTCAATAATAAAGATAAGATGTCTAGTCATACCTTAGAGCAGAAAGTACAAAGAAGAAAAAATGAACTTGAGGATATTGACAGAATATGCAATGAAAATTTAGAAAAGATAAATGAAGTCAAAGAACTTATCGATATCGAAGTTGAAAATGTATCTAATGATGAGAAATTCTATGGAAAATATGCAAATGATCTCAAGGCAAAGCATGCAGATTTAGACAAAATAACCACAAAAATTGGTAGCAGCCATAAGTTCTTCAAAAATATCTTGGTTGATAACGAATAATTATCTCAAGAAATTTAAGCCACAAATGGTGAGCCTGAGGGAAAGGTTGACAAAAGACTTGATCACTTTGATTAACATCTCATCATCAAGAAGAGGCTTAACCATGCTAAGCAATAGTATCCTTATGAAGGATTTGGTAGAGAGATCAGAGATATCGAGAAGGATATCGAAGATATGATGAATAAAAAACCAAAGAAAGCTGCTGCCCCTGCTTATAAGGCAGTTGCAGGAGATGATATTGATGCTATGCTCGCATCAATGTTGAATAATTCTGGTGAGAGCGTTGAACTTAAAAGACTTGGAGGTGGTTTCTATATGTTCGGTAACAAAAAGATCTATTGTAAACTGATGAATGGAAAACTTGTGGTACGTGTTGGAGGAGGCTACGTTGGTATTGAGGAATTCATTAGAATTTACATGAAAGAAAAAGCTAAGAAAGTAGGAGATAAGTACGAAATCTCAAGAGAAGTTGATGAGGACGCAATAATCAAGCAAGATAAAAAATAGAAAGATAATTTCAAAGATCCCAAAGGAAAAAATGTTGTGGGACTTGGCTCAGTTAGAGCAGGACTTAAGTGAAAAGATTTTACTCTTAATAAAAGAGGAATTTTAATAACATTATTTAAATTTTCAATTCATAAGGATTATTCATAATTGGGGTTTTGGGGTTTTGGGGTTTTGGGGTTTTGGGG